CGCTCTACCACTTGAGCCACAGCACCATTTCTGGCTTTTTTCTTTTTGCTTATGTGGTGCTGAGGAATCGAACCTAGGGCCTTGAGCATGCAAGGCAAGTGCTCTACCACTGAGCCACCTTCCCAGCCCTAGTCAAGATCTCTCTAGGTAGCCCAGGGCTGGCCTCCAACTCATGATCCTTCCAAGTGCTGGGATTATAGGCATGTATCCCCATGCCTGGCTATCTTACCTGTAAAACGAAGGTGACACTGCTTTTTGCAGGCTCCCTGAGTTTGGACATAGGAAGTGCCAGGCATGTGGGAAATGCCTAGTAAATGGGGCATTATTGCTTGGATCATGACGGATTGCTGTTTGTCTGCATGGAGGGTGGTGAGAGAACTTGGCACCTGAGACAGGTTGGCATCTTAACCATCCTATGCCTCATTGTGCTAATAAGGTTGCACCCTTCCCATTCACCCTCCCATTATCCACACGATCATAGCTTTGTAGTTTTATTTAGGGTGTGAACTTGAGAAGCCTGGGTATAGTTTATCCAATGAAATTGTTTTCCTGTATTTATTGGTGGCTTGGCTGGCCCTGGGAGCTGCCCAGAAGAGATTGCAAAGTTTGTCAGCTTGGAAACTATGGGGGGTCTCACAGGAAAATGTCTAGGGGTGGGAAAGGGGTTACATGAGGGCTGGGATGAGAACCGGGATTCTCCCCTCTGATGCCAGATGGGCAAATCTCCTAGAGGTGCCCAGTTCACTGCTGAGGGTATGCCCCTCCACCACCCTCTTCCCATACAGGGATTTTCCGGGGTCCAGACTTCTGCTGCCGTGAACATGACCGCTGCCCACATACCATCTCACCCCTGCAGTACAACTATGGCATCCGGAACTTCCGCTTCCATACTATCTCCCACTGCGACTGTGATGCCAGGTTGGTGGCAGGCAAGGAGGGGCCCCGGGGCTCAGGGACAGAACAGAGTTTACCCAGTTCTCAGGTATAAGGGAAAGCCCAAGATCCCATTGTGCAGATGAGCAAAACTGAGGCCCAAGGTGAAAGAACTCTTGGTGAATTCAAACCAACTGGGCTGGGTGGCAGGATGGGCTGCAGGAGGAAGGAGAGGCTTTCTGTGATCCAGTGACCTGAATGCCAGCTCTGGGCAGGTTCCAGCAATGCCTGAGGAACCACAGCGACTCCATCTCGGACATCGTGGGCGTGGCCTTCTTCAATGTGCTGGAGATTCCCTGCTTTGTGCTGAAGGAGCAGGAGGCATGCGTGGCGTGGTACTGGTGGGGTGGGTATGTGTCTGCTTCTCCCACTTCTTTTCCTAGCCAGTGGGCAACTGGGGCTCCAAAGCCTGGGCAGGGCGGGGGGGGGGGGGTTGCTGTCCATTTGTCTGTCCTTTCTGTCAGGCTCGCCCTTTCTTTGTCTACTTCTGGCTTTTGTGCTAGGTTAATTGGAGATCAGAGTCTCCTAGACTTTCCTGTCCAGGCTGGTTTTGAACTTGGATCCTTAGATCTCAGCCTTTTGAATATCTAGGATTACAGATGTGAGCCACTGAGGTCTGGCAGACTCATCCTTCCTTTGGGGTGGGGCCCAGGGTGGAGTCTCTTCTTGAGTGCCTCCTGACAACCCAGTAGGATGGTGGATGGAATTGGCAGAGGGTTGGTCTCCATGGAGACCACCCCGGGGGCTTCTGAGATCAGTGATTCTGAGTCATCCATTGCCTCCGACTACCACCTTCCAGGTGTAAGACCTATGGCTTCGTGCCCCTTGCCCACCTCCAGCCTAGGACTCGCTATAATGCCTCCTGGAACTCCCCAGACACTTCGTTGACCCCCAGTCCCCAGAGCCCAGCCCCCAGCAAACAGAGAAGGGACCAACGTCCTTGGAAAAGGCGAACACAGCACACAAGGTCTGGGCAGCCCAGCCCAGCCAACACCACAGTTCTTCAAGTCCCTGTGGACTCCAGGAGTAACATGACCGTCACGGTCCAGCTGGGGGACTCCCATCCCGGCGTCTGGAGCCTTCATGGTAAGCTCAGCTGTGTCCTTACCAGTGTGCAAAGAGTAGTGGGTAGGAAGGGAAAATGTGTAGCTTCTTTTCCTACTCCAAGTGCCTCGACTTTCCCATCAAAATATACTGCAAGTACCTGTGGCTCATGCCTATAATCCTAGCTACTTAGGAGGCTGAGATCTGAGAATCATGGTTTAAGGCCAGCCTGGATAGAAAAGTCCATGAGACTCTTATTTTCAATTTACCAGCAAAAACCCAGAAGTAGAGATGTCGATCAAATGGCAGAGTGCTAGCTTTGAGCAAAAAAAAAAAAAAAAAAAAAAAGCTAAGGGACAGCAACCAGGTCCTGAGTTCAAACCCCAGTAATACTGGATATATTGCAAGGAAGAATTTTATTAGCCCACCAAGTAGAATGAGTCATTCATTCCAAACTAAACCCCTCCCCCTGCCATTAGGGCTCCATTTTTATTTTTGTTTTTATAATCTCAACTAACAAAGTCTCATCACCCGGAGATGCTCAGACCCTAAAGACCCTACCTTCCAATTAAAACTCCAATTTCACAAACCTTGTTTGGCTTCTGAAACGCAGCATGCAAAAGGATGGAGTTGGAGCTCAGTGGTTAGAGCACTTGTTTATCTGTAACAATGACCTGTGTATGATCCCTAGCACTTGAAAACAAACAAAAAGCCAGGTATGGTGGTACACTCCTGTAATTATAGCAATTTGGGAGGTCAAGGTAGGAAAATCTTGGACTGAGGCTAGCCAGAGCAAACTAGAAGACCCTATCGGTAAACAAAACAAGACAAAACAAAACAAAAAGTAAAGCAAAAAAGGGCTGGGGCATGGCTCAAGTCCAAATCAAAGTGAATCAAGAATGATGCATTTTGTTTTTGTTTTTGTGCCAACCCTGGGGCTTGAACTCAGGGCCTGGACACTGTCCGTGGGCTTTTGTACTCAGGGCTAGCACTCTACCACTTGAGCCACAGCTCCACTTCTAGCTTTTTGATGATTCATTGGAAATAAGAATCTCACACACTTTCCTGCCCCATCTGGCTTTGAATCATGATCCTCAGTTCTTAGCCTCCTGAGTACTTAGGATTAGAGGCATGAACCACCAAGGATAACCAACATTGGTGGAGCTCCTGGTTTGACCACTCACTACCTACCCCTGCCCCCCCAGATGCCCACCAGGCTTGCCGCAGCTTCCGGTACCTGGACCGCTGTAAGCATCAGATTGGACCCCAGGAAACCAAGTTTCAGCTGCTCAACAGTGCCCGGAGTCCCCTCTTCTCCTGCAATTGCACACGCCGGTGAGACCTGCTATATGTCACATAGGGTGGGCTGTCTGCTGCCAGGCTCTGTGAAGGGGCTCTGGGCTGATGAGATCCTGTCCCCACCTGAGCCTGCCCTCTGCTCTCAGCGTGGCACGCTTCCTGAGGCTGCACAGCCCACCTGCAAGCACCAACATGCTTTGGGAACTTTTGGGCACCACCTGCTTCCAGCTGGCCCTTCCAGTGGACTGTGCAGAGGTCAAAGGGTAAGTGATGGCAGAACCGGAAATCAACGGCTTTTCCCCAGTCTGGGTTGGGCCCAGGGAGCCTCAGATGCCATTATCCCGGCCCCTCCCCAATACATGCTACTCCCAGGCCAGCTCTGCATCTGGCATATAGGAGGATGCATCTTCACTGTCATTTATTTTATTTATGTTGGTGCCAATGCTAGGGTTTGAACTCAGGGCCCTGAGTTCTTGCCTGGCTTTTCTGCTCAAGGCTAGCGCTCTACCACTTGAGTCACAGCACCACGTCCAGTTCTTTTCTGAGTGGTTACTTGGAGATAAGAGTCTCATGGATTTTCCTGCCCAGGTTGGCTTGGAACTATGATCCTCAGAGCTCAGCCTCCTGAGTAGCTAGGATTACAGGCGTGAGCTGCTGTGTCATTTGATTTCTGGGTATTCTTGACTAGGTAGTTCCCCTTGCCAGGACTCCACTTTCTTATTTGTAAAATGGTTATAGGAAAGCTGGGTGTGGTGGTACACTTCTGTAATCCCAGCGCTCAGGAGGCTGAGGCTAGAGGGTCTTGAGTTTAAGGCCAGCTTGGGCTACACAGTGGGATCCTATCTCAAAAAACAAAGCAAGGAACTGGAAGTGTGGCTCATGTGGTAAAGCATTAGCCTTAAGTGGAAGAAGCTAAGGGACATGGCCTAGACCCTAAGTTAAAGCCCCAGTACCAACACACGCACGCACACGCGCACACACACACACACACACACAAAGCAAGTTAGGCACTGGTGGTTCATGCCTGTAATTCAGTTTGAATTCAGCGTCTTTCACTTACTAAGTAGGTGTTCTACTACTTGAGTCATGCTCTTAGCCTTTTTTTTTTTTTTGTCGGTCATGGGGCTTGAACTCTGGGCCTGGGCGCTGTCCCTCAGCTCTTCAGCTCAAGGCGAGCGCTCTACCACTTGAGC